CTCCTATCAGTCCCAGAAGGGAAGCTTCTGCACAGAATAGCATTGGGAGAGAAGGAGGGAGTGTCAATTTTAATCAGGACAACAGAGGAGGAAAAGATAAACTTGCAGTCAGTGGCCCCTACAAAAACCTTTCTTATGGTAGGTTAATTTTTAAAAAACAAACATATATACATTCAAGTTATATGTTTACTGTCACATCGAGTCTGGCTCCTAAGTATACATGTGCATGCAGCCTTTAAAACTAAATAGTCTGTTACATTTCCCAGGATCTTCTATATACTATCAGGGAAAAATGCAGCTATTTTTCAGTTTAATATGATATGAAGTCAATCACATTAAAAAAATAAGCTTAGATGCATTTTACTATTTGGTACATTTTTTCTATGCAACATTGGGAAACAAAGCCATATAATAGGATAAACACTGGATTTATTTTTAATCTTTCCCAAATGCAAAATCAACAATAGCCTTCACATATATTTCAGCTTCATTTGGATTCAGCTTTATTACTCATGGAAACTATAAAAATTAGGAAATACTTTCTTGTGTAGGTAATCCAGTACATCATTTTTGTTGTTCAGTGGGTTAAACTCAAAAAATGGGATCTGAAATGTAAAGAAACAAAGAAACCATTATTCAAATAATTCTGCAGAGAACAAAACATCAGAACAATTCTGTCCTAAATTTTCTTTTCTAAAATAACATGAACAGGCCTATCACAAAAGGGCATTTGACCCCTTTGCATTTACTTTCTTCACCTGAGGATTGTTGAGCTAAGAGATAAAACAGCCTATCCTTTGCCAACTATTGATGCAAGTATGGCTCCAGGCATATGGCACAATAGGAATGGGATGGCAACAGGTCTTAGAGGGACTAGACTTGGGGATTTTAGTCTTGAATAATAGCTGTCTTCTATTAAAGCTGAAATATTAAGTGCTAGGATAAAATCCAATTATGCTCACTGGGAAGAGTTCATCTAAGGGTTATGGCCATAGTTTAAAGTGAAACACTCAATTTAAATGAAGAAAGTCCCAAGGGCAGTCTCAAAGTGGGAGAAAGAAAGATTCCTCTCTGAAATTTTGGACAGCTATTTCTGGTCACCTGAAACCAGTACTGAAGTAGACATTCCAGTGATTCAATTCAGTAGAAAGGTAACATTTTATGTATTGTTATTGCTTTGAGACACACATTTTTGCCCTTAGTTCACTCTTTAGCTGTGAGACTAAGAGCAGTATAGTCTGGATCAACCCTCAGAAGCAAAAACTTATATGAATGAAGCATCAATACGGACCTCCAAATATAGCCAGATATAGCAGTAATATTCAATTTACCTGTACAACCACATAACCAATGAGCTTCAGATGTCTTTGCTTAATGGATTCTTTTCCAAGAAGATTGTGGCTATTGGCACAAAATCTCTTTTCATCATCAATGCACAGAGCTATTCTGTAAAATCAAAATATTATCACTGCTTCAAATTCAAAGTGTCAGCACAAACTTTTCTTAAGTCAATGCCCTTCAACAGTGTTGAACTACAACTCATTCCTGACCAGCACAGAGAATAATGAGAGATATACTCCAACACATCAGAAAGGAAGCAAGTTGGGAAAAGCTGACCATTCCTACTTTTTCAGATACTGCATTTTCTGGGCAAGAAAACACCTATCCAGATTCATATTTTGTATGAAGTTGGTGTATGTAATGTTTTGCATGTAGTGCTCTTATTTTGTATCTGGATCCTATTTCCTCTATTAATATTTTAACATTGAAATTTCAAGAAATCATGCAGGGAAAATCCCATTGCTGCACCACACTTTACCATAGTCTGCTAGAACAGGTGAAGGATCTTCCTATGTGATATTTCAGTTCAGTGCAGATCTGGGGTGCAGCCACAATGAAGCATAACCAATTAATTCATTAAGACTGCCAACAGTCTGCAACCTGACCAAGTCAGTCAATGATATTATATGGCATAGTCAATATTGTCACTTAACATTGTAACAGCATGTACTTACATCTAATAATATACAAAACAATGCAATAATCTTACGTCTATGAGTAAATATGCATGACAAAAGTTGCTTTGGGGAGAATGGTACAACAAGCAGTTCCAAGCAAAGCCAATTAGTGTTAGGAGCATAAACAGGAGCGTAGACTGATGGACAGAAAGAATGTGGGTTTTCGCTGGTCTACAGCTGTTATGCAAATTAAATGTGGTTTGCTAAGCAAAGCAAACCCATAGCACGTGTCTCCTTTTTCTGGACTAGTAGCATCTGCTGCAGCAGCAAGGTGTGAATAGGGGTTCCTTCCTTCTCAGGCTAGCATGGTGGATGGCATGCTGCCACCTTAGTTGGGAATCAGCCCTAGGGAACTGAAAGAGTCCAGAAGGGGCAGGGGCAAAAAATGTAGCAGAAACACTAGCCTGACTCTGATGAACACTGAAAAATATGCGACCCGTGCTGTTTTTTCCAGTGGTTTCTAGAAATGCTTCTGTTGAGCAAGACTAAAAACACGTGAACTCTTGGACCACAATATTGCTGATATTCTAGCAATATTGGCACATTTATAATGCTCTGCTTCTGCTGTCACAATCAATTAGAATCAGCCACTTACGACAGAGTGGAATAAACTTTTCAAACAGAAACACAATTTGAAATGCTAGAAATATCTTATGTAATTTTTATTTTTGTATGAGAAAAGAAAAACTGAAAAAGCTGGTTCAGGTTTGTGAGGTCTCTTTTAAAAACAGTTACCAACAATCCAGTTTTCCTTACCTTTCATATACCTCATCTTGTGCATTGACTGGTAGTACAAATCCTTCTTCATTGAGTTTAATCTCAATATCTTATATGGAACAAACAGAAAGAAAATAGCAATCCCTGCAATTGTCTTTTTGCTGTATTTCATTCATTCTCGTAGTTGAATATAAATACTTTAACTTGATTTTTAATCAATGTGCAACATGGAAAACTGAGGAAAATGGGCAGCCTCACTGTTTGTTAAGTACATTTAACTTTGCTAGAAACAAAGATAACTGTTGAAAAATCTTAAGAATTCATAAGAGAACACTGAAATTTCATGCAGATGATAATGGTTGAAAAAATGAAGGGCTACATGGGTTCAAAGAAACAGTCTATTGCCCTTGCACCAATGAGAAGAGAAGAAGAATGGTTTCACCTTTTATCACCACCACCACTATGCCCCCATCCCATCCTCATCCTGTTGACTGTATGGAGGGCAGATCACTCTTGCTGGAGTTCTGAATGAACATGAAGTTCTAGGACCATAGTTTGTACACCTTCAGTATTGTGTATGAAGGCTACATACAAACAGACTCTGAAGAAGAACACACAAATTCCAAAACTATGGGATGAAAATCATTAGGCAAATGACACCAGTGGAAATGATTGCCTAAGTCTAAAACAAGTCCCTGAAGTCATCTAGAGGTCCAGCAGCAACTAACAGAAATTTCCAGAAGTTAATATGAAAGTATAATTGTTAAGGTGACACAAGGGGAAAATAATTAAATATATGACTGGCGAGTAACCTTATTCCATTTAATTTTAGCAAAAATTAAATGTAAATATGATGGACATAAATTGAGTCCTTGTCCCACCCATTACTCTTTGGAATATGGCCATTCCACCCATTCAGCCCTGAAAAAAATGCACACCTATCTGAAACCATTTAATTTTAGCAAAAATTAAATGTAAATATGATGGACATAAATTGAGTCCTTGTCCCACCCCATTTAATTTTAGCAAAAATTAAATGTAAATATGATGGACATAAATTGAGTCCTTGTCCCACCCATTACTCTTTGGAATATGGCCATTCCACCCATTCAGCCCTGAAAAAAATGCACACCTATCTGAAAGTAAACACAGCTATCTGAAAAGTAACACAGTTTGCTCACCTATGGTGTAGTGATATGGAGTCAGAACATTACAGGCAAAATATTTTTGGTCCCCCAAGAGGTCAATCATGCCAATCTTCACTTTGCTGAAAAGATGAAGATCTACCTTGGATTCTAATGACTCACATCTGGTATGAAAGGACTTGACTTGGTAATTTAGATGGAGCCCGGGATTCTGTAAAGACCAATTATTAAAAAAATATGCCAAGTTGCTTTCTGCCAGTTAACAAAACAAATATGAGTAAAAATGCAAGTAGTTTTAAAAATGCACTGATGAACTGATAATATAACAAGGAAAATAATGGTGGCAGAACAATCCTAATGAGGAATAAGGAGGAGAAGCTACAGTGGAGAAACCACCAAATCGGAAAACCTATAAAGTAATGTTAGCAGGCTCTTATTTTTACCTCCACTGAGTACAAGGCAATATAACTCAGATGTCATGCCCCTGGGTTCTTGCCCCAGCACAGAAGTACTGTAATGGGGGCAAAAGTTTTCCCCCGCTAGTATGCATCTATATGAACACCCTCCTCTCCATCCTGCTATATCCTATGGCCAGAAACCCACAGAACTACAGCCTAAAACATCAACAAAGTTATTGCTGATATGGAGGATTACTAATAAGCAACATTATTACATTTGGTCATTAGTATTATGAAACGCTACTTAGTCTGAGTAAATGTGTACAGATTTAAGCCAGCATCTGCTTAAATAGCAATATTAATTAACATCATTAATATCATACCTTATAGTATGGACACTCCAGTTGAACGGTTAAAAATAGCTGTGTCAATTGAGAAAAAATCTTCAAGCTGGGACTTTCAGCTGAGATGCAAACAACCAGACAGACCAATCATCATAAAGCAACTTAAAGTTGATTCCACAGCTTTCATTTATTTACTAGTGTTTATACACCATTCCAACCCCAAAAATCTCTTCAGCAGCTTACATTCCCTTCCACAATTAAAAAATTAAATCATTATCATCATCATTCATAATCATCACCAATAACATAAGACTTACAAGTCCTCTAATGCAAAGAAACAGCAAACTTTAAACAGAAATGCATTACAGGATGGCACTCATAACAACTCCATTCCAAAGGCTCTCTGGAATAGCCACATTTGATGGTTTTCTGAAAAACCAACAAGGTCTAACCTGGGGGCGGGGGGATGTTGTGTCAAAGAAGGGGCCCTAAATGAGAAGGCACACCCCTGGGCTTCCTGAAGATGACATTCCCTAGGAGGAAGGATCTGGGGAGAATTTCCCTTTTCAGATCTTACTGGACAGGTAGAACCCACTGGTAGGGGGTCCTGTGCAAGATTTTCAAGGCAACAACCATTACCTTGATTACCACCCAGAAGGTAACTGGTAATCAGTGCAGCTCTCAAAATAGAGAAGTTACAAAGGAGAACCTACAGTGGTGCTTAAAAGCTTGGGAACCCTTTTGAATGTTCAATATTTATGCATAAATATGAACTAAACATGATCTGTTCTCCACACAAGTCCTAAAATTACATAAAGAGAACCCAATTAAACAAATAAGTCAAAAGCATTATACTTGTTCATTTATTTATTGAGGAAAATGATCCAAAGCTACATATTTGTGTGTAGCAAAAGTATCTGAACCTCTAGGATTATCAGTTAATTTGAAGGGGAAATTAGAGTCAGGTGTTTCAATCAATGGGATAATTAGATTTGAGTGTGGGAGGTCCTGCCATATTTAAAGAACAGAAATCTAGGTATTCATTATCAAAATCTGATCTTCACAACACAGGTACAGTATGTGGAAGAGTGTTATGGCTCAAACAAAGATTTCTGAGGGCTTCTGAAAAACAGTTGTTGATGATCACCGGGCTGGAAAAGGTTACAAAACTATTTCCAAAGAGTTTGGATTCTATCAGTCCACTGTCAGGCAGATTGCATATAAATGGAGGCAATTCAACACCACTATTATCCTCCCCAGGAGTGGTCAACCAAGACCACACCAAGAGAAAGGGGTAATACTATGGAATGTCTCAAATAACCCCAGAGTAATGTCTAAGGAACTAAAGACCTATCGTGCATTGGGGACTGTCAGTGTTCATGAGACCACCAACAGGAGTGCACTGAACAATAATGGTGTGCATGGCAGGGTTGCAAGGAGAAAGACACTACTCTCCAAAAAGGGCATTGCCGCCCATCTACAGTCAGTGAAAGACCACATGGATAAGCCAGAAGGCTATTGGAAGAATGTTCTGTGGATGGATGAGACCAAAATAGAACTTTTCGGCTTGAATTAAAAGTGTTATGTTTAGCAAAAGGCAAAGACAGCATTCCAGCTGAAGAACCATATCCCATCTGTGAAACATGGTGGTGGCGGTATCATGGTTTGGGCCTGCTTTGCTGTGTCTGGACCAGGATGGCTTGCCATCGTTGATGGAACTATGAATTCTGAATTGTACCAGCAAATTCTTCAGGAAAATGTCAGAGTATGTGTCTGTGAATTGAAGCTCAAGAGAAAGTGGGTCATGTAGCAAAACAACCACCCAAAACACATGGGGATTAGAAAGGGTTAAAGAAGGAGGGGAAAGAGTAAGATGGCAATTATTTGATAGAAAGAAGGGCAGAAGACAAAATTCCATGTTTTATTTTCTTCACTTCTTTTTTTCTAATTCTTATCTTTTTTATTTTTCTTTTCATTTTTTATACTTTTACTGTATTGTAAAATTCTAATAAAAATATTTTTTTAAAAAGACCCAAAACACACAAGTCATACAACTAAAGAATGGTTAAAACAGAAGAAAGCTAATTTTTTGGAATGGCCAAGTCAAAGTCCTGACCTTAATCCTATAGAAATGTTGTAGAAGGATCTGAAGCAGGCAGTTCATGAGAGGAAGTCTCACAACATCCCTGAGTTGAAGCTTTTTTGTAAGGAGGAATGGGTTAAAATTCCTCCAAGCTGACATTCAGGACTGATCAACAGTTATTGGAAACATTCAGCTGCAGTTATTGCTGCCCAAGGGAGACACACCAGTTACTGAAAGCAAAGGTTCACATACTTATGCTACACACAAATACATACCTTTGGATCATTTTCCTCAATAAATCAATGAACAGATATAATGATTTTTATTCATTTGTTTAACTGGGTTCTCTTTCTCTAATTTTAGGATGTATGGAGAACAGCTCATGTTTTAGGTCATATTTATGCAGATACCCTGAAAATTCAAAAGGGTTCACAAACTTTTAAGCAATGCTATAGCAGCTCCTATATCTGCTCAAGCTGGTGCATTCTGAGCCAAATTAAGGTTCTGGATGATCATCAAGGGCAGCCCCATGTAGAGTGCCTTGTAATAATCCAAATGGCAGCGACTAAGGTATGAACAGGGCCTCCTAATCCAGGAGAGGTCATGCCTACTTATGAGGTATAGAGAGATAGATATGAGGTGTAGAGAGATAGAGATAGAGAGATAGAGAGATACTTATGAGGTGTAGAAAGACAGAGAGATAGAGAGGCCCTCCTAGCTACAGCCATCAGCTGAGTAGGAACTGAGTCTAGGAAGCTTCCAATGCTTTAGTGAACACTCACTAAAGCAGTAAGTAAACTAGGAAAACCACATTCTCTCAATCTCCAGGTGAACACATTTTCAGTATAGGCCATTGTAGCATCACTGATTTCACAGGGGCATGTTACTTGCCTTACTTTCCCCTAATAGTAACATCCCTTTGTTTCTTGGAACTAAAGTGCTACACTGAACTGTAATACTTTATAGCATTTTCAAGTGTTTGAAACATTTTTCAAACATTTTACCCTATCTAGCTATAATCTTTACAATAACCTTTTAAATGTATCAGCTTTACTCCACAATCTTTATATTATAGATTTGTGTGGAGAACTAAGGTTAAGAAAGAGTAGTTTACTTAATAGCAAGTTTCTTCATGGCAAAAACAAGATTCAAAATGGGCCTGATTCTCAGCTCAGCTTTATTATTCTGATAATCCTAACCCTAACTCCCAACTTCTCATATATTGTTTAGAGATGTTCATTTTTATGTAAATTTGCTCTGCAATCTCTATAATCAAAGAAAGGGTTCTATAATACATTCTACGGTACATTCTAGTTTTTGCAGAGCAAAACTCAAATCTGGGCTCCCTGATGGGAGAGCTTATTACACACTATTGTTTACAGATTGTCATGAATACCCCCAAAACTCCAACTGGCTGCTCCCTGCCCACTTGCGAGGCCTCTCAATGGCCATGCCATGGTCATTACTGCTAATCAGAAAAACAAACCTAGCAGATATGAAATCTTGAACAATCCAGTTCAACCACTGACAAGTTGGGTAAGGCAAATAGGGATGACCCAGACAGATGTCAATACTTCAACCGTACTTGGTTTGTTCTGTAAATGCTACCTATCTCTTCCAGGATGTGTAAAGTTCCTCTATGACCTCCCAGGCAGTTGGATGCCTTACTAATCTTATTAAGGAAGGCATGACTCCTACAAACTGAAAACAATTGTAATAAGATGACTATTATAACAGAAATTATAAAGTTTACTTGCTTACCTTGCAACTGCTGCAGAAAATAGGGACTGAACAGTTTTTCCATAAAATTTAGTGGATAGCATTTAACAAGAATGCATGAATGAAGAAGGTTCAGAAGCACATGAGGCTCAAACTCAGAAAGTCGCATCCTAACAAGCCTTTCAACCTGTCGGAAAAAAGATGGGGCACATGGGGGCAAATAGTTGAGCTTCCCAAATGGAACAACCTGCTCAACAATCTGAGAAATGGTGAAATTGTCAGCATTATAGACAAAAGTTTCTGCCACTGCATTGAATATGGGTTTGGAAAGAATACATAGCCTGCTGCAGTACTGCATGACTTTGGAAATTGTGTTGGGATGCATCACAAAGGCAAACTTGATAACATGTCTTTCTAGCGCTTCTGTGAAACACTGGTCAGAGCATCTAAAATGAATGAATGCTTCCAACACATTTATCATTTCATCATCTGTGAAGTATGGGATATAACATGATGCATGCTTACAAAGTCTTATTATCAAGTTATTGACTTGGGTTTCATCAAGAACAACCAGAGCATTTAACACTGTACTTGTCTGTCTGGGAGTGAACTGGTAATCTTCTGACTCTGCAAAACTGTTCATTTTGTTCAACAGGTTCTGGAATTTCCCTGTCCTACCTATACCTATCTGCAGAGTTCTGTATACCAGGACCATTTCTTCAACATTCCAGTCCTCAAGATTTGTACTTTGAATTTGATTCATAACTTGTTCCAGCATAGTATGTTCTGGTCCTCCAAGGTTAAATAAACCTTCTCCAAGAATGCATAAATTTTTTATACTCATCTGGCCCTTATCAAGACGTTCCTGGCTCTCTGACACCAAACGAACCATCAGGGTACTACAAGGATCCACACACAACTTTGTCAAACCATTTAGAGAATTTACAAGAGCAAAGTCAGACAAATTTGCAGATTCTTGTTCCAGCTGCAAGCAAAGTGATTTGAAGATGTAGCTTTCCATCAGTTCCTCAGGACTTTTCATTAAGTTGTCCTGTAACTGGACCTCACCCAGCCGCTGAAAGATAGCTGCTACCATGATGTCAGATAAACTTTCCAATGAACTCACAAATTTGAAAATGTCCTTGCATGAAGACCATTGGTTCAATTCCTTTAAAAATATCTGTTCATCCACTGACTTGCTATTAGATTTTAAATTGTTATTGGCCTCTCCAAGATGTTGCATTGTTTCCACAACAGAGCTAATATGATTTTCTAGTTTCATATAGTAATTTCTACAAGAAGTGCACTGGAAATCTCTTTGGTTTTTCAATATAGAAGAGTCAAAGTAGCAGACAGCGAACTGCCTCATTTTCTGACAAAAATGGTTCAAGGCTCTGCTTCCAGTTAGCAATTGTCGGCGTGCTTGTACATTAGAAGCATATACTTGGAAAGATCTGAAAACTGTAACAGCCATCGTAGCTTAGCTATTGATATTGGCTGCAAATAGAAGAAAAAGTTACTATAAAGATTGCCTTTTTAATTTAAACAGTTTGAAATGACAGGACAAGAAGCAGCGTAATTAGAATTATGTCAATGAATCAATTCTGTGTGAATACAGAAAGACTAGAATATGAAACTGTTAACTAACGGATTCAGCTCAGAAAAACACATTAAAGCATTTAACATCCGTAAATATATGTTTGAAAGTATTATGGGTAAGGATTATTGAAGTTCTGAAGCTGGAATAAGTAGCTAGATAAGATGTCCAGCAGCCAAGTGAGAAACTTCAATCCTACTCATCTGTATTTGTGATATTAAAAAAAATACACAATTATGCAACATACAATGCATAAACAATTGCAAATGTTTACAAATATGTAATATGTAATTACAAATTACAAATATTACAAACAATTTACATCACTGACAGGATTCAAGACATTTTGTGCGAAACGGGACTAGTATGAGCCCTTTCCTACCCCCCTGGCAACGTGTTTTCCTCTGGTCCTCACAGTAGGAGGCAGGAGGAAAGTGGCACACTGCTGTCCCCACAGCGGTCCTTTTCTCGCACCTGGAAAAGGAGATAATCAAAGTTGCTGCTCTCACACAAGGAAGACGGTGTAGATGACCCCTCTGGCAGCAACAGCAAGCAATAAAGCATAACATAAATAACCCTTAGAAACCAGAAGTGGATTACACCGTTTCTAGCAGCTACTGTACTTTCGTCAGAATGCAGCATGCTTTATCTTTCGTCGGAGGGGGTGACCTAACAGAAAAAGCCCTCTTAAGAATATACAAATATCCACCTTACGAGGCGTCAAGAGGGGGGCTTCCGCCGAGGCCCGAGCGAGCAGGCAAACATTCAGGGCAAAGGGAGTCGCACGAGCTCGAGGGGGCCAGAAAAGCTGAGTCTTTCCAAAGCTGCCCAGTCTGTTTTTACAAGTAGCCGTCAACGCAGCACCCACCGCCCGGAGAACCACAGCTCCCAAACTCACAACAGCGCCCACCCGCTGCAAGCCGCGCGGAACTAGATCCTGGGAGTCCTATCCCTGCAAGGGTTGGAAGAGGCTAAGTCAGAGAGGCCTCCTGAACTCAACAGCGAAGCAGGAAACAGCGCAGCCGGCGCAGCGCTCCGCAGCCCTCGCAATCGCTATGTCCCCTTCCCGCCAGCTCCACGTGCAGATCACCCCTACCTCCTTCCTCGGCGATTTCAGGTTCCACTTCAGCCCAAGCGCGGAGACCAATCGGAACCCGCCTTTCCGTCTTGTTCCCACCTCCCGATTTCATTGATTGGCTACAGGGCCGTTGCAGAGCCCAGTTCGTCCCTGCAGCCTGATCCTGATTTGCTTTTGTATCCTTCGTGGAGATAGAAATGTGCAGAGAAATATTCGCCCCGCGCTCCGGGTTGATTTTGCCTCATGTTTGTTGGTGGATGACGGGAGCGGGAATCAAAATTCATCGGCTTGCAGGATGCCTCAACATTTCAAATAGTGGAGCTCATGATAGATCATAGTTAGTTTCCATCTCAGCGTCGCCGGCTACTGCAAGCAAGGCGACCCAGCCCTTCCTGCCGTGTAGAACAATTATGCATTGTATTTTTTCCTGGCAGTTTTGCAAAAAAGCTTAATGCTACCATCTGAGTGTGTAATCTGTTCCACTGTTTGCATGTCAAAAAACTGAGCGGGGTGAGGAGTTTCTTAGGCAGGTCCCTATGGCCTCTCCCTCGAAGGTAGAGAAGGGGGGGAAAGATGGAAGTCGCCTCTTCATAGACTTGAAGATTAATCTACTTTTTTTTTTTTTTAATGTCCCAACCCCTTCAGTGACGATTGAGTGACAGAGACAGGGCTTGGGACGTGCCCCGGGCGGTGGGGGATCAGCCTCTTCGGCGAGGGTTTCTGGAGAGCCGGCGCTCCGCTGCGCGTTCCCTCGGAGGCAAAGCGCCGGAAAAGACCGCAGGCCGCGTTTCGGGCTCTTTCACGTGGGTCCCCTTCTGGCCGCGCCGGATTACTCTCTGACCCGGGGCCCGGAAGGATCCGAGTAGCAGCGCAAAGCCGTGCGGTGCTGCGGCACGCGCGTGCGGTCGGAGGCCGTTGTACCCTTCTCGGGAAGAAAAGCAGCCGCAGCTCTGTTTAAAGGAGAGGTATTTTTCTGTGGTCAGGGATGCTTTACCTTTTATGCCCCGAAAAGAAAGAAAAAGGAAGGAAGGAAGGAAGATTCCCAGTGCGGGATTTATCCGTCTGGGGAGATCCGGCCGGGGCTGGCCGCGGAACCCTCCTTCGCGGAGACCCACGTGTGGAGAGAGACGCGCCTCCGGATCCCCACCCTCGGGCGCCCGTTACATTTTCGAAGAACCGTGCAAAGATGTCTGTTCAGAGAGGCATTTGGGGCGTTGGAAGCCAGGGTTATTTTTAACTTTTTGCGTTGTTACTGTAAGCCGCTCAGAGCCTTTGGAAATGGAGGGGACAGTAAGCGAAACGGACAAATGCAGCGCCAGCTTCCATTGGTGCAAAACGTGGAATGCTTCAGTAGAGGGCCATGTTAAAAAATCTGCCCTGGATATCAGTACTTTTCCATGTACAAGCCCTCAATGGCTTAGGGCCTGACCCTTCGAGACCTGCCCTATCCACCTTCTGGCCTGCTTTCAGGGATACGCTTATCGGTCATGTGGGAATGTGCTCCCGTGGGAATTGTATTTGATCCCCACTCTCCCTGTTTTTGCACTAGCAGTCAAGATGCATCTCCTTTGCCAGGCCTTTAGTTGCTCTTTTTAACATTAGTTTTTATTTTTGTTTTGTATTTTATTTGTCGTTAGCTTTCCTGACTAGAAGATTGGAACTCTAATAAATGTAGGTGCTGTGCACAGGGTTTCCACCCAGTGTATTTTTCTGTAAAACTAAAGAAATACGTACAAAAGAGGGTGGGTGTAGAAAAGGGCTGTGTCTAACTGTTGCATTAGAAGTAACTGCACCACCTTTTTTCCTTTTCCTGCCCCACTTAGCTGAACCTTGAAAAATGTGCTGCAAAACAAATAGAAGATTTCTGCTGCTTTATGCAAGTCAGAAAGGCCAGGCAAAAGCCATAGCTGAAGAAATATGTCAGCAGGCAAAGGAACATGGGTTTGAAGCTGATATTCACTGCATCAGTGAGTCAGAGCAGGTGAGACTCTGTTCTTATTGGCCACTTTTGACAATTAAATTAAAACGAGCACTATATGATTTTGCACTTTCTCTTGGGCTCTTTTTTCTGAAAGTTCAAATGATTCCTTAGAAGTTTTTCTATAAAAAATAATTAAATAAATTGTTGCACCGTAGTCAATTATTTGTATAGACCTGTCAGTGCACATGGCATTAATAGAATGGCTTATAGTTCCACCCTTCAAGAAGTTTATCGTTTTTCAAAGAGAAAAGGAACTGGAGAGAGAAATAGAGTAGCAAGGATATTTTTTAAAATGCATTTATCTGTATTTCAGCTTCTTCCTCAGGATATATTAGGAAGGCAGATTAAACTGAGAAAGGCAGTGACTAGAATTTAATCCCATTTGTTTCTAATCCAGAAATAGTATATTGTGCTGAATATAGCCTATGTAGGTATTGTCTTCAATAATTGAATTAGAAATGACCAAACTCTGCAAATATTATAAATATAGGCCTGTTTGTGCCAGAAACTCCATTGATATGTATATTCCAGTGGTTGGTCTAATCACACTGAAATAGAGACATGCACATTGTTAAAAATTCAAGAACTGGCTAAAATGTGTTACATTTGTAACATACATTTGCTAAAATGTTAAATGGTCAGCATGATAATTATATATAAACTGATAATGTTGAGACCTCTTTTTGATTATGCTAGGAATAAAAAAAAAAAGGAAAAGTGATATAAATCTGAAATAAAGCTTTGATAAAACCAATGCCAGAAAAGTAGAAATTTCTGGTCAATTAAACGATGCAGATTTTATGTACTTTTTTCCTCTGTGTTCTTATATTTCAAACAGGAAATTAAAACAACTAACATTTTCTGGAGGCACCCTGCTGTTTGAAAAGCAAATTAAAATAGGATAAATAATCTGCCTGACCTTTGACTTTTTGTCTTACATACCAAGTGAATATAATAGCGGAGCACAAATGTTATTGATTCTGTAGATATGTGAACAATAAATTTTGCTTTTTAAAGCAATTAAATATGAAGGCTAAAATAAGGGAACAACATTTGGTAAATTAAAATCAAGAAAATAAGCTTCCAGAGCCTAAAGTAGGGATAAGCAGTAATTGGAAGAGCTCTGGTGTCCAGAAAAGGGGTTTTTGGGTGATATGTGACCCTGGAACTTTAGGTTATTTATCCTTGGACTAAGGAGCTATTTTGTATAAGACATTTTCAACTGAATGGTTTTAAAAACCTGCATTCATCAAGTTTGATTCTGAAATAATTCTAAGTAGAGGTTTTGAACCTTAAGAAAAGTGTCAACTTTTAGAAACATGCTTAATTAATAATTGAAGAAAAGAAATTAGTTGCTAGGTATAGAAAATATCAAAGAGGTCCATAGTTACTCAAATGTTTGGATCTTCAGAAAAGATGAACTGAAGATGTACAAAGATGGCTAACTTCACGGGATTTTTATATCCTTTTAAGTGCGTCTGCACTTGTCGAATAAAGGTGTAGTCCATATTTATCACATATAAAGTATATCTCAGTCTTTACATGATAATTACATGGTTCATTTTGGGATCCTTTTAAACTTCTCTTATTTCATTGGCATGTCAACTTTGTAAGGTCACCAATGGAAAAATGTTCTTCAAACAAGGTCTTAGCATTATTGCCCATCTGCTAAACTTTTTTTCCAGTTAATATCGTCATCAGTGTTTCTCAGTTCAATATGCCAGAAAGACACATAGTCTTTGATTCCCTATCAGTTGGCTCTTGCCGACTGATATGATACAGAATCTGGAATGTTACTCATTTGCCTATTATAAGAACTAGAGTAAATTTTAGAGGTTAAATGCTTCATGTAGTTATTCCATTGATGCTGCAGTGGAATATATTTATTTTTTGTTAGTATTTTTTTTTGTTAATTGGCAAATTGTTCCAAATGAGACAGTTCTTAATCCACTTTTTTTCACCCTGTGTTGTAAGTCATTCAACAAGATGGGCGGTGACAAATTTGATAAATAAATATGTTATGCTACTGTATTCTTAGATACAATAAATATGTGTTGAATTGACTGTAAAGAATTTAGTAATTCATATGGTAGATCTCTGAATATTTTTAGTGCTGTTTGGGTCTTTGTCATAAAGCTGGAGCAGTGTTTCTTGACATGGGCAACTTTAAGATGGTGAATGGTGAATTCTGGGAGTTGAAGTCCACACATCTTAAAGTTGCTAAGGCTGAAAAACACTTGAGCTAGAGCATTAAGTATCCACCTAATTTGACTGACCTTTTGATCCTCTGGAGTGCCAGATCAGAGGGTGAGGCAGGGATCTTCAGGTAGTCATGGGGATGCCACTTATCCTTGCAGTTTATCACCCACTTTGTAGGCTTAATATCTGAAAAAGTAGTTTTAGCAACAAGCTGGGTACTCAAAAATCTTAGAAAACAGCTAAAACATCACGAAGACATAACCTTATATTGGTAGATATAAATTTCTTAGTGTATGTACAGATGGCACAGAGTTATTTTGTGTTCGATACTTTAACATCTTCTTTTTGATTTATAGTATAACTTGGATAAGGAAAAGGATCCTGTGGTTATTGTTACTTCTACTACTGGTACAGGAGAGCCTCCAGACACTGCAGTCAAATTTCTAAAGGAAATTAACAACAAAAGTTTGCCATCTGATCATTTTTCTCATATACGATATGGACTGCTAGGTAAATGACTTATAATTTACTCATTCATATGAGGCAGGAAAAAATCTGGGCTAAGTATAAATTACCAAGTAAATATATCACTCTTGGAGTAGATTAAATTCTTTCTTTACCTGGTCTTGTACTCGGTTCTGGGACAGTAGAGCCATTGCAGGATTTTTGCAACTTGACCTACTTAGAGAACATCAACTTCCCGAAAGGCCATCAGTGGTTTTCCATTCTTCCTAATCAATTGGCACTGCTGATAAGAATAAACTGTGTATGAAAAAGGTACCCATTCTGGGTCTATTTTTGTTGAGCCTAAAGTGCATCTTTCTTTGGTCAACACTTCCTTCTCTTCCCAGCCCCAGATCTGGATGGAGTTATAGGGTGCTAATTTCTTAATTCTATTTTTGCCTTTTTTAAAAATTGAAAAATAGGTTAAACATTTTCTAAATAAAATAGTCATAAAGAAACAAGTTAATATAACATAAATCATAGAGATAAAAATAAAATACAATTTAAAAGCCTGTAAATAATACACTAAATCCAATGAATCTTGAAACAGTGTCATCAATGGTCTATTAAAGAATGACAAAAATCTTTGGCTTTTATAAATAATACTATAAATAATGAAAGAACAGCACAGTTTCTCCAAAGGACAACTTTTCTGTACAGATTGTAAAATATATTACCAATTGTCATCCAAATGACAAATGATAAATAGATTTGGCTACAGTTTCCTTAACTTGTGTGTGAAATCTCTTCCATCTCTGAGCACAGAACAGTTATTTGCTGAAGCAAAGTCATGTATCTCTGGGTAGACATTGCTGTTCATCTGAGACTGAAAGCTGACTTCTTTCACCACCTAGTCCTTGATTCATCTTCTAGAAGTAGATGTAGGATTCACCCTAGATCACTTTATTGTTTGGGCAGTTTAAACTTACATGCAAGGTAATCAAGGAATGAGTGAGTGGCTGGAGGGCAGGCTGGTCCAGAAACAGGCACAACTTACAGATGGAATCTGGGCAAAGGTCTTCCTAGCCACAGGTGCCACCTATTCTTTGAACAGGAGCTGTGAGTCCAGGAAAACTCCCAAATTGCGCAAGTCCCAAACAAGGAAGTATAACCGCATTCAGGACTAAAGACACACATTTTCCAGGACCAGTTGGTCCAAATACCCACAACCACTCAGTCTTGCTAGGTTACCCTTGGTACCTGCTCCCTTATGGAGGCTGACCCAACCGCATGTCACCTACCAGGTAGCCTTCACCAGCTAGGAAGAAATGATACTCATACTCCATTTTATTTCAAAAAGAACTCACCATTTCTGAAGTTCTCTCTGGTTGGTTGAAGTGTGGAGTTGATTTAGTCTATTGCCTAGAGGTTATCTTATTTTCTACATGGAATGTTGATTTGATTTCTATGGAGATCAAAAGAAACTCTGGAAAAAAGCTGAAGTTCTTCCATAGGCAGAGGCTATAGAAAATTCCTTTATGTCTGTGCTCATAGCTGTTACTCAAATGTTAGTGAATATCTACAAACAGATAACAAAAGATATATTTCAGCCAATCCTAACATATTGTTGGAGTGATACTGGCTGGAGACGATGTGTATTGGAAACTGTGTCTAAGCTGGTTGAAGAATGCTGACCTGGTGGTGGTGTCAGTAATTCTGAGCTTGAAATAAAGCATGGAATTCCCCTGTACAATCTTTACAGAGAAGTGTACTAATATATAGAAATTATGCTGACCCATTCTAGGATTCTTTTGGGATGTAGAGAGAGGGTTGTTTTTTTGGGGGGGGGGCTAATGCTTGAGTATAATTTTTAATTCATTTTGGAATTCTTTGTCTGTTTAAGTGATCTGGGTGTCTGGTGCAAGGTTTAATCTTTATTTTGATCTTTTCAGGTCTAGGAGACTCTGAATACACATTCTTCTGCAATGGTGGGAAAATAATAGACAAACGATTTGTGGAACTTGGGGCTCAACGGTTTTATGAAGTGGGATTGGCTGATGATGCTGTAGGGTAAGAACCTAATTTTTTTCGGATAAGTTTGATTTTAATTTCTTCCCAACACGCATAGATGGAAATGTCATTGTTTTTACTCAGTGGAATGAGGCTGGTCCCATAACAAAAAATGTGGGGAGATAGGGTGTAAAGGCTGGGAAAAATATGCCAGGAAGTTGGCTAGAGTTGACATGGCCTCATGCTGCCCATGCTAGTCTTGACTCCCGGGACAATTGTGGTAGCACAAATTAAAGCTGCAGAGTTTGCCTTATCTCAGTTGAGACAGCACATTGGTTCTTTTGCCTGCTGGCAGAACTATTGAGCAGAAGGAATCCCAAGGACTCAGGGACAGCTGTCATCTTTATCATCTTGCCTTGCTTTTATACAAATTCTAGGAAAGACTTGTATCTTAAGTTCACAAATGTGGAGTTTGTGCGAGGTTATAGAAAAAAAGAGGAAGATTAGCCTTTCCTTTCTTTGCAGCATTAAGTTCTTATACCTTTCTTTGTGCAAATGCTGTCCAGAGGATTTCCAAAAAGTGTGTTTTTTTATTGTGGCATTTAATCATGATTATATCTGTTGACAGAGATGGGCTCTAGTCTTTTCCTTTAACAGCAGCCAGTTAAATAATATTTATTCTATTTCATTTAAAGTCAAGTCTCCTTCAAGTCCCTAATCCTGGTGTCTTTATGGACTTGTCTGCATTGTTTTTCGAGCAACAGAATAGAAGTGGTTTGTCATTATCTTCCTCAGGAATGGTTTTTACCCTTCAGCCTAGAATTCCAATGTGGCCTTTCATCCAAGTAGTAACCAGGATCAACTCTGCTTACCTTCTGAGAATGACAAATCACTTCCATATTGTTGCCAAGCAAACTGCATGAATGCGACCAAGAAGTCATGCTGAAGTCAAGACTAACTCAAAAGAGACTTGATTTTACCCTGATTTTCTCAATTTACTCTCTTTACTTTGTTTCAGGTTGGAGCTGGTGGTTGAACCATGGATTACTGGGCTCTGGGTTGCACTTAATCAAGAGTTTGCATCTAGAAAAGAAGACAAAAATACATCTTTTTGTGCCAACAAGTTTTCTAATCTATGCCTAAGCCTCCAAGCAGAACACTTGAAGATTGAAGATTCTGATGTGAAAAATAATCTTTCATCAAAAGCATATATTAACTCAGAACTTCCCACTGAAAGCTCTCAACCTTCACTTTCTTGCTCAGTGCCTCCGCTCTCAAAGGCTACTCTTAATATTCCTGCTTTGCCACCAGAATACCTAGAAGTGCAGTTTGAAGAAAGCAGTGGCCAGGTAAAGTCTCCCATATTAAAGATGTTTCTAGCCATAAACTCTTCAGAATCTGGAATCTTGACTTTTGCATTAAAATTCCCACTAAGTATATAGAGGAGTCTTCTGAAAATTATTTTAATTGGGTAGCTACTAAAGCAAATTAGGAAAATATGGATGTCAGCATGAGTTCTTCAACAGTACCCTGTCTTACTCAGGACTGTCTGTTAATTAGGTCTTTAATAATTAAGCTTTTTTCTTGCAAATAATTTTGCAGACCTCTAATCCCTGCAAAGTACGACTAGAATTCAGCAGAGTCTAGGTCAAGCTGAGAGGTTGTCCTTGGAGTGGGTAGATTTGGACTGAGATTCCTTGTTTCACCATCTATTAAAGGCAGTTTGGCCCTTGCTCCTTTGATGTTAGAATTCTAAAATTGGAAGAGGCAATAAAAAAGGTGGATGTCATGTGAAAATGCGGGTGACACATGTTCCAGGAGAAGGAAAATAAATGTTAATCTTCTATGTTGAAATGTATGGCTCTAAAAGTACTTTATTTGGCTGGATTGTTCATCTAATGTAAATCTCAAACATCTTGTGCAATTATTTATTGTAGTTTACTCCTTTGGACTAAACGTCTGTCAATT